TAAGTTAACTAAGTTGATTAGTTGACCCCTGGCTGTCGGCCCTTCCCGATGAGCCTGATCCCTTAGGCACCTCATGTACCTGAACCGTTCCGACCGGGGGCCTGACCCTTCAGGCATCTAGGCCGCTCCGACCGTGACACTAACATGAAAGTCATCAATTTCAGTTGCTTTAAACCAGCCGCGTAGGATGCATTTACTGGTGCAAATAATAAGTGGAGGGGCGTGCTAACCAACTATATTAACTGCCTTAACAACCGTTATATATTCTCGCTCTAAATTAATGCTAATATAAGGCTTCTCGGTCTTTATATCCCGTGTAATAACCTATTCGTCCTTACTGATGCTAATCTGGAAGCCCGTCTCGTTAAAGTTCTAAATATCCTCTAGTGTAATCCTGTACTTTAGTATAACATTCTCTAGCTCCTTAAACTACTAACGTAGAAGCTATTGATCCTCTGTATGCTTGTGATCAAGTTCAATTGCTCAAAACCGTCTTTTTTTATATTATGGATGGCGTTGAAGCTAGCGATGAAGCCATTTAGGTCTAACCGTTAGTGGAGGGGTCTCTAGATTAGTATGACTTGCTTTTAGGATTATATTAGCTGCTGCCTCGATCATTCGCTTTAAAGGTTTAATCTAATATTGCTCTAAGGTATCTAGGTATCAACAGAGGGCCTTATCCTGCGTTAAATTAAGCTTTAGGTTGGTTAGTGCTCGATTCTTTAGCAATAGTCGGCCCTGCTAACGAGATTAAAGCGTTGTGTGAGGAACATTAAATTCTCGTGTAGCTTTCGAGATATTAGGTTTTTTCTAAGTTTTTAACGCGCAGATGGCCTGATTAATTCGATTTTTAGTCTCTGGATTAAATTTGACCATGTTGTTGTTGAATAATTACGCGATAAAGGTAAATGGTTGGATTATTCAAAAAGTTGACTGGATGGCTGACCTGACCAGATGGCTGGCGGGGTCGCGCTAAGGCGCGACCACCGAAGGTTACCGTAGGGGTCGGTTAGTCTAGTACTTATACTACTTTAAGACCTTAGTTAAGAATTTTAACCCTAGTAATACTATTATATTTAAGATTAACTATTATTTAGACGCGAAGAGATTAATACTATATTAATAATATTTCTCGCGTAATACGCTATGCCTAAGTATATATATTATAAATTCCTATACTATTTTCTTTGCTAATAATTAGAGTAGATAGCTATAGGTATACTTAATAATACTACTAATCTATTAGCTATTCTTAACTAGTACGTAGGGTTTTAGGAAGAAGGAGATAATAAAGTTAATATCTAGGATAATACTATAATTAAAGGTATTAATTCTACTATAAAGACCCTCTATAAGGCTTTTAATAATATAGAGACTACTTATAGAAAGGTCTTTAGTTTAACTAGTAATAAGAAAGATTATACTATAAGTCCTTTAATCTTAGTACTTTATTAATAGTGTGCTAATATTTTATTATTATATAATTGTTAGGGATAAGCTATATAAGGTGCGATCCGGGCAGATCAGACCGTAGGGTCTGATCACAGTGACCTTTTGGCCTAGTGGAAGGTAGCCAGCCCGGACGGTTATCCTTAACAATGTGATCAGACCCTACGGGTTAGTACACGGCTAGGCCATAGGATCATTCCTGGCTGCAGGCATGGCATCTTTTACGCCCAACGTGGCTGCCTAGTAAGGCTTTATTAGTAGTGATGTCATGACTTTGCTTGGATGATACTACCTAGTTCTAGCTCACAGGCTTGTTAGCTCCCGCGCTTGCCTGGGGGTCCTTATCTTATCTAGTTTATCTTATCTTTAAGGTCCAGAATTGGCCTAGAGGCCCGAGGACGTGCCTCCTTGAGAAGAGGATAGTTGTTAGGGATAAGCTATATAAGGTGCGATCCGGGCAGATCAGACCGTAGGGTCTGATCACAGTGACCTTTTGGCCTAGTGGAAGGTAGCCAGCCCGGACGGTTATCCTTAACAATAATAGCTAAAGAAGTCTAAGTATAAGACCTTTTATACTACTTACTAATAAGAATTAGCCTATATCCTTCCTTCTCCTTATAGAGTGCTAATAGAGGACTAGTATTTCTTTTATTTATAAAAGCTATTATACCTATTACCTAGGGATAAAGAGTATATAGTATAAATAGCTATATTATATAGCTTCTATAATAATATAGAAGTAGAGATAATATAGTTCTATAGAGATAGGTTAATACCTAATAGAGCTAAGATACTTAGCTTATTTAAGGAGTCCTTTCCCCTAGTACTTAATAAGTTATAAGTATAGTTTTATTATTATAATATAACCTTTACTATTTATTTTCTATACTAGGCTAGTGGTTTTTTAGTATCTTTAGGGGTCTAGTTAGTAGATTATTATTAGTAAGGTTTTTTTCTTTAATTCCCTTAAGTATTACCTTATATTTAGCTTATTTTTATTATTATTTTATAAGTATTACCTTAGCTTAATTTTACTATAGTATATTTTCTATTTTAAGACTTCTTATAAGTATTAATAAGATAATAAGTATTCCCTATATTTTTAGTAGGAACTTATTAATTATATTCTATAGGCTATCCTTTCTATTTTACTAGATAATAGGGTTTATTATTAATATTAATTTTATTTTATAGCTCCTTAACTTCCTATTCTTTATTATCTTTAAGTTTAGATATTAGTAGGGGGTCTAAGGCCTTTCTATACTAAGGTTCTAAGAGGGATATATAAAAGATATTATAAATTTAATTATACTAGGTAGGAAGGCTTAGGTAATAAGCCTAGGATCTAATAGTATTTAGGATACTAAAAGGTCTAATAAAGTAAGGGGTAAGTTTTTAATTAGGAACCTTAAAATTTAGATATTAAGTTAATAGTTTAATAAGGTTAGTTCTTTTAAAGGATATTAGCTTATAGTTTTTATTATAATAGTATATAAAGGATTTAGTAGCTTTATACTAGTAGTCTTTTAGCTTTTCTTAGAGCTATTATAATTTTTATACTTAGTCTTTTACTACGGGAACCTAGTTAGTATAAATATTATTTAGAATCTATATATAGAAATCTACTATATAGCCTATAAGACTCTCTATTAGTATATTACTAGTAGTTTAGTTAGTAGTATTATTATAAGTAAATTATATAGAGGGAAGAAGCTATAGCTAGGTTACTTAGTTCTTATTAATAAAGTATTATAGGTATCTTTCTAGAACTTAGTTTACTTATTTAGTTTAGCTATTAGTTTAGGAATAAAAAGCTATTAATAACCTTATTTTCTAATAATAATATTATATAAGGTTATTCTAAAATTAGCTTATAAATAAGGAGCCCTTATTAGATATAATACTATTAAGAGGTCTATATTAAAGTTTAACTTTATAGTAGAATAGTTTGTTACGGAAGGTTGACCTCTCAAGCCTTCCTAAACCTTGGGATCGTCTTGACCTAAGCCCTGACGATGGATTGACTTACTCAAGTATGCTCAACGTCCAACTAGTATGGGGACTAGTCACGGTCGGGGTGGCTAAGGCGTAACGAAGGCAAGGCCAGTCTTTACCACGTATGATAAAGCCTGTCAAGAAGTACTTAGACGAAGTGTTGTCGCAAGGGTCTTGAATCAGAATGATCTGAAGGTAGCACTTAGAATAACAATGGTATTGATCACGAAGAACAAGTAAGACTAGATACAGGTGGGTAATGAGCGTCCTTATATATCCTTCGTGCCTGACTACCACCCTGACTACCATCTACCATGGTAGTCCCAGAGGTAGTTCCCCCCGACTACCTTCCCGACTACCATTCCTCGTGGTAGTCCCTTCGGTAGTCTTCACGTGGCCTGCCTCGTGGGCGCTTAGCTCCTGGGTGAGCCGTGTCGTACAACAGCTCATCTTTGGCGTAGCTCACAAGCGCCCGGAGTTGTGCCTGTTAACACCGAAGGCCTGTAACATTATCGCAGCGGTAAAGTTATCGCGAGGTGAACGTTAACCGTAGTTAATGTTATCGTGAGCGTAATATTATCCCGGGGATAACCTTATCGTCGAGGAACATTATCCGCCCGATAATATTCTGACCGCTGAATGTTCTGCCGGTAGAACGTCTGACCGCTTGGCTAGGTTCATAACACCATCTCCCCCTCTTTCAGCTTTCGTCCCGAAAGCATAAGTAGCGTAGACGCCCCCGCTCACGACCTGGTGAGTTTTCCTTTTCCTTCCATCTCATTCCCCCCGAGATGGTTCACCATGTCCCGTGTTGCTAAGTCCGTTAAAGCGAAACGTTCCCGTTACAACGAATTTGCCCTCCAGGCCGACCTCATCGAGAAGGACGGTTTTCCTGTTGACAACCCTTGTGAACGCTGCGCCCTTGGTAACTTTCCTTGCGTGATGGATTCGAAGAGTACGAACTGCGCTGCGTGCACTCGTCGTGGTCGGAAATGCGAAAAGCGTTTTCATGGCGCGCGCGATGTGGAAAAAGTGATTCGAGATGACGAGAAATACGCGGCCGAGCTTGAGGCCGCCGAAGCCGAGTTAGAACGAGTGATGGCGAAGATAAAGCGTCTTCGCAAGATGAAGAAGTTCAATAAAGAGCGTATGGGTGACATTATTTCCCATAATGGTGCCTTGCTGGATCGGTTGGATGAAGAGGATCCTCTAACCGCCGAGGATCTCCGTGAACTTGAGCGCCTAGCTGATGAACATGATGCTGCGGTCGCTCAGCTGGCTGCGACGTCAGACAACCCTAGTCTGACTCAGATGATTGGCTCCCCGTCGTCGCCGTTCTGGCAGAACGTCGACTTTTCGACTTTCGAAGTCCCTGGTGGTACTCCTGGACCTTCTTCGAACAGCCCGTCAGGTTCTCGATAGGTTCCCATGTGTTTTCCGAGGTATCATATCCTTTCCATTTCACGAGGTACTGCGCCCGACCGCTGATTTTCTTGGAGTCTAGGATTTTCTCGACTTCGTATTCCTGTTCTCCTTCGTCTTCAATTTCCACGTTCTCAGCGAGTTTGGCGTTCGTCGGTGCAGGTTCCAATAATGAAACATGAAAGTTTGGATGTATCCTTTTCATTGATCTTGGTAGCTGTAGGCGGTAATTGACTGGTCCCAATTTTTCGTCGATTTTGAAAGGTCCTAGTCGGATGTGGTCCAATTTCTGACTTGGTCGCGTAGTTTTGATGTTTCTGCGGAGCAGGAACACTTTCTCCCCCCTTTTTAAAGTCTGGTGGCTCGCTTCGGTGTTTGTCGTAATAAATCCCCATTTTTAGGTTGACGAACTCGAGATCTCGGGTGAGTTGTGTTTGAATTGTCTTGAGCCTTTCCACGAATTGGTTGGCTTCCTCCGCGATGGGTTGGTTTTGGATTGGTTCCCCGTGGAGATTCGGGTGGTATCCAAAGTTTGCTTCGAAAGGTGTCATTCCTGTTGCGCTATGGATCGAGTTATTGTATGCGAACTGGGCCATGGGTAGCTGTTCTTCCCAGTCGTCTTGTACGTAGTTCACGTAGTGTCGTAGATATTGCTCGATCGTCTGGTTGATCCTTTCAGTTTGTCCGTTCGACTGTGGTCTGTATGCGGTTGTCATTCGCAGTTCGATTCCTAAGGTATCGGTGACTGATTTCCAAAAGTTGGATGTGAAGAGCTTGTCTCTGTCGGAAGTAATATACTTCGGGACTCCGTGGTTCATGACAACAGTATTGGTGAAGACCGTCGCCATTTCTTTTGCTGTCATGGTCGTTTTTGTTGCTTTCAAATGTATATACTTCGTGAGTCTGTCCGATATAACCGCTAGATAGTCGTTTTCCTGCTTGGTCGTGGGTAGTGGTCCGACGAAGTCGACTGTGATCCACTCCCATGGTCGTTGTGGAACCTCAGGGTTCTGAAGTTTCCCGTATGGTGCATGCCTCTTTGGTTTGTCTCGCAGGCATGTTTCGCATTCATTGATGTATCTCTCGACCTTCTTTCTCATGTTCGGAAAGTAGTAGTTTCGTGCGATGTGCTCGCAGGTTTTGTCGATGCCAAAGTGCCCATGCACTGGCGCGTCGTGGTGCTCCCGAATTGTTTGTGGGATGAGTGCTGGTGGAACGTAGACGAGTCCCTTGATGTGAAGCACCCCATCTTTCTCCAATGCTCCTGGTGTAGAGGCTAGGATTTGCTGCATCAGTTTGTCTTCTTTCATGGCCTCTCTGATGGTGTGGAGCATGTCGCCCGAAAGTGTCATGGTGGCCGCGAGGATCATTGGGTTGTTTCCGAGCGTCCCGTCGTCGTTTTTCCTCAGGATCGCTGGTTGCGGTTGTCTGGTCTTATCCTCGTAGTCCGGTCTTCTGCTGAGTGCGTCTGCTTGGCCATTCTCCGTGCCTTTGCAGTGCTCAATCTTGTAGTCGTATTGTGACAGCAGCTCCGCCCATCGGGCCTGTCTTCGCGTCAACTCTTTAGTTGTTGTGAAGTAAGTCAGGTTTTTGTGGTCGGATTTCACAATGACTGTGTGCCTTGCCCCTTGCAAGTAGACTCTCCATTGCTTGAATGCTGCCACTATAGCCAGCAGTTCTTTGTCGTGGATGTCGTAATTCATCTCTGGTCCGGTCAACTTCCTTGACCAGAACCCTACCGGTCTGGGTCTCCCGTCCGGTCCTGGTTGTGTCATTCTCGCTCCAATGGCGTAATCTGATGCGTCGGTTTCGAGTGTTGTCTGGAGTTCTGGGTTGTGTTGCGGCATGATTGGTGCCGTCGTGATAGCTTCCTTCATGGCTTCGAAGGTTTCTTGCTGCATTTCTTCCCACTCGAATTTCTGTTCTTTTCGGAGCAATTTGAACAAAGGTGCCATGTGGAATGCGTACTGATCGATGTATCTCCGGTAGTAGTTCAAAAGCCCTATGAACTGTTGTAGTTCCTTCTGGTTCTTTGGTGCCGGCCATTCCCTAATAGCTCTCACTTTAGAGGCTTCAGGTTTAAGACCGTCCTTGGTGACCCAATGGCCCAGGAACTCGGTTTCCTGGACGTGGAATTCACACTTCTTGAGTTTGCACCGTAGCTTGGCTTTTCTTATCCTCCTGAGGACCCGTTTGACGTGTTTGACATGTTGTTTCCTTCCCTTGGAGAAGATCAGGATGTCGTCAAGGTATGCGAGAGCAAACTTGCTCATCGGTTCCTGTGGTTCTTCGCTCTCGGTGTCCTCTTCGTCGTCCTCATCCTCTTCTTCGTCTTTTAGCACCTCGTCGATGAATCTTTGGAATGTAGGTGGTGCATTGGTTAGTCCGAACGGCATGACCAGATATTCGTAAAAGCCGAATTTTGTCCGAAACGCCGTTTTCCATTCTTCTCCCTCCGCAATCCTGATGCGGTAGTAGGCGTCGGTGATGTCGAACTTCGTAAACCATACTGCCCCTTGGATTTTGTCCTGGATTTCTTGAATCAAGGGTAATGGATATCGGTCTTTGACGGTCGCGTCGTTGAGTGGTCGGTAGTCAACGCAGAGTCGGTCGCTCCCGTCTTTCTTTGGTGCAAATAGGACGCCATGCCCTATGGGTGATCGCGATGGTCGGATGTTCCCTTTCGCGAGCTGGTCGTCGATGTATTCTTTGAGGACTCGTGATTCCCGGTCGTTCAGTGGTAGAATTCGTTTGTAGTTTAGTTCGACACCTTCCTTGATAGGTATGGTGTGGTCGTGGGGTCCGCGAGGTGGTAGCTCCGGCCTCTCAGGTTTCTGGAATAGGTCCTGGAATCGACTATACTCTTCCGGGATCGTTGGTTCCGGCTTGGCTTCCGTATTGGTCGCTGCAAGCGCCTGAGCGTTCTCCCCGTTTTCTCCGTCCGAATCGTCCGTTTCGTCGATCTGGATCGTTTCGCTGTATCTTATTGGCATGCCGGTGCCCCACCCGGGTATTTCTTTCAGCCATACTCGTTCAGATGGTCGTGAAGTTGCTGCTAGTACTTGTAAAACTGGACTTTCCTCCAAGGCGGCGTGATTGCCCTTGGGAATCAACCTCCCCGCAGGTTGCTTGGCGTTCTGCCTCTGACTGGCAGGCCGTAAGGCTCCAGCCCCTACTGGTGCCTGTTGTTGTGGGCTAGTTCTCCATCGGATTGTCTTGGTTGACCAATCGATGTCCGGGTTGTGATCCTCGAGCCACGGGATCCCCAACACGATGTCATATTGCCCCAAAGGGAAGACGTCGAGACTTAGCTCGATCTGTCGCCCTTTTACCACTAGGGTTATGACTCCCGATTCAACCGTGAGCATTTGAGGTCCCAACTCCTCTCCGCTCAGCCCGCTGATCGGTTTCGGTTCTTCCTTCTGAACTCCTCGCAGTCTTAGTCGGTCCATGCACCTTGGACTGATGAAATTGCCTGTCGCGCCCGAGTCAATCATAACGAATACTGGCTTTCCTTGGGCCCTTGCCATGAGTTTGAGGTGTCTGCCTTGTCGCGTGGCCGCAAGGGTGACGGTTTTCCAGTTTGGCGCCTTCTCATGCCGTGGGCGGCTAGGCATGTACCTGCCCAGCTTGGCCTCATAGTGGATAAGGCACTCGTCGTCGTAGCACTTGGTCCAGTGCATGAACAAGTGCTCTGGGTGTTGCTGATACCCCTGACATGAACAGTTGCTTTGTCGGCACGGACATTCGTTGTTTGCGTAGACGATATTCGGTCGCTTTGGTCGGTACTTGGCAATGTCCTTCAGGTGGTTATGGGTAAAGCAGGCATCGTCGTGGCACACTATCCATGGGAGCCTGGTGTGTTCTTTGTGGCCCCATTGCCTGTATCGGCATTCGCACCATGGCTCGTCACATGGCCTATGTGCTTCACTTCCCTGGAGTCGCTTGTGGCTGAGCCGTTCCAGCTCCTCGTGGTAGTCGCTATTTTTCCGTCCGCAGATCTGACACCAGTCCGGGTGTCGAGCACATTGGAGCGTGTGCTCCCTCCAGGTGCTGCTCGTATGGTCCCAGCACGTGAGGTTGTGGTGTGGACAGTGGGTAACCAGTGCCCTTAGCGATGTCGAGAGTTTGGCTGGGTCCTTGATGATGTCGTTAAGGACTCCGTTGAACCATTTCGCTGCGGTTTCCTTCGAAATTTGGTGGGGGTTTTGGTTCGGGGTTATGGACCACTCGGTAGGTACCTCCCTGCAGGGTACAGGGCCCTCTACCTGGGTGCCATAGTCTTCGTCAAGCGGGTCAATGACTCTTTGCACGAAAGGGTCAAAGCTGTGCACCATAGCTTGGGCTGGCTCGTGTTGAGTGGCTTCGTTTCTGTAGGACCCACTCGTCCTCTCAGTCCCTTGATCTTGGAACGAGGTTTCGTGTAGCGAAATATCTCCGGACTGAAGTTGTGCAGCTTCGGACTCGTCCGTGTACTGCTGGTATGGCGGTGGTGGCGATCTTACCCGATCGTTACTCTCCTGAGGGTTGTTGCTAGCATCTGTACTCGCCATCCTTCTGTGTCGGTCTCCTGTCGGCTCCTGCCGTGGGGGCTCAGTGGTGTCTCGTCCTTGTTCCACCGAGTCATACCAAGATACCCTGGCCGGGGGCACTGTCGCTCCTGTTGGTGGGACACTTCCTCGACCCCCTGTCGTCCTCATGGCCGACCGCAGGTTTTCCGTCACACTTCGCCTCCTCGGGGCGGCATCCGGGCTTTGTGTGGTAGCAGCTGTGTTACGGGTTCTTCTAGCCCTTCCCGGGGATAGCTCACCAGGTCGTGGGTGCCCGCGGGCACCCTCGTCATCCGCCTCCCTGGTGGCCCTGATCGTCATGATCTCTTGATTGGCCCTAAGTTGCTGTCGTCGTCCAGAACCCTGGCTGGGTTTTTTGGCCTTGTTTTTGCGTTGGTTGCATTCGTTCATTCGATGACCCGATTTGCCACAGTAGAAGCACAGATTCTCCTTCTGGCGGCGGTCCCTTTCCGTCTTAGAGAGGGTCGCATCGAGTTCCATAGGTTGAGGCCCATAAGGGTCGTGATGACCTTGGTTTCGTGGCTGGAAACGTTGTCCAGTGTTGGCACGATACCCTCCTCGGTGATTGTTGCCTCCGTGGAACCGAGGGGGTCGGTACTCGCTTCGATGCTGAAAGTGACCTCCCTTTCTTGCTCGCAAGTCTCTGAGCGTGTTGTCGATCCGTACCGCTCGTTTGATCATTTCCTCAACGGTTGAGGGT